AGCAATCTACAGATTCAGTGCAATCACTGTCAAATTACCAACATCATCTTTCATTGAATTAGAAAAAACAATCATCCTGGCTTGGTGGCTCAGCCTGTAATCCCGTGCCTTTGGGAGGCTGAGGTGAGTGGATTGCTTGAGCCTGGGGGTTCGAGACCTGCCTGGGCAAATTGGTGAGACCTCATCTCTACAATAAATCAAAATGAGCCAGGCGTGGTAGTACATGCCTGTAGTTCCAGCTACTTGAAAGGCTGAGGCGGAAGAATCGCCGGAGCCCAGCAGGTGGAGGCTGCGGTGGCTGGGAGCGGCCACTGCACTCCAGTCTGAGTGACAGAGTGAGACTCCAACTCAAAAAAAAGAAAAGAAAAGAAAAAACAATCATAAAATTAATATTACACCAAAAAAAGAGCCCAAATAACTAAAGCATTTCTAAGCAAAAAGAACAAAGCTGGAGGCATCACATTACCTGACTTCAAATTATACTCCAAGGCTATAGCAACTAAAACAGCATGGTACTGTTATAAAAATTGATACATAGTTCAATGGAACAGGATAACCCAGAAATAAGGCCACATGCCTACAACCAACTGATCTTTGACAAAATTAACAAAAATATACACTGGAGAAAGGACACTCTACTTAATAAATGGTGTTGGGAATATTGGATAACCATATATAGATGAATAAAACTCCACCCATCCCTCTCAAGGTATAAAAATTAACTCAAAATGGATTAAATCCTAAACCTAAGACCTGAAACTATAAAAGTTCTAGAAGAACTCGAGAAAACTCTTCTGGACATTGGCCTAGGCAAATAATTTGTGACCAAGCACCTGAAAGCAAGTGCAAGAGAAACAAAAATAGGCAAAAGTGACTTAATTAAACTAAAAAAGCTTCTGCACTGCAAAAAGAAACATTTGACAGAGTAAGAAGACAACCTATAAAACAGAAAAAATATTTACAAATTATGCATCTGGTAAAAGGTTAATTTCAGAATCTACAAGGTATTGAAACAGCTCAACATGAAACAAAATCCCATTTAAAAAGTGGGCAAAGGACATGAAGAGACAATTTTCAAAATAAGACATACAAGCAGCCAACAAGCATATAAAACAATGCTCAATGTCACTAATCATCAGAGAAATGCAAATTAAAATGACAATACCTTCTTATACCAGTCTGAATGACTATTATTGAAAAGTCAAATAGCAGTGATCTATCACAGGAACAAAGAACAGAGTACCATATGTTCTCACTCATAAGAGAATCTTGAACAATTATCATAATACTATAAGAAAGGGATTGGCAGTAGTGGAAAACTGCTGGGGCAGGGCGGGGGGATTGGCAGTTGAGGGAAACTGCCAGGAGTGGGAGGGGCACACCTTATCAACAAGGGTACCTGCATAATGAACTTTTGTATTCCTAACCCTGAATTATACCCTACTTCTTTAAAATAATTTTTAAAAAGTCAAATAATAACAGATGTTGGCAAAGAAGCAGAGAAAAACTATCACTTATACACTGTTGGTGATAATATAAACTAGTACAACCTCTACGGAAAACAAAATGGAAATTTCTCACATAACTAAAAATAGAACTATCATTCAACCCAGCAATCCCACTACTGGTTATCTACCCAAAGGAAAAGAAATCATTATATAAAAAACATACCTGCACCAGTATGTTTATTAGACCACCATTCGCAATAGCAGAAGTCTGGAATCAAAGGAACTATCCATCAGTAGAGGATTGGATAAAGAAAATGTGATATATATATCACATATCATATATATATTTCATGTATATATGAAATGGAATACTAGTGTTATAAGAAAGGATGAAAGCATGTATTTTGCAGCAACATGAATAGAACTGGAGGGCCATTATCCTAACTTATAGGTGAGAGCTAAACAATGGGTACACATGGAAATACAGTGTGGAATAATAGACTTTGGAGACTACAAGCGGTGGAATGGTAGGAGGGAGGTGAGATGTGAAAAATTACCTATTGGGTAAAATGTTCACTATTCAGGTGATGAGTACACTAAAGTCTAGATTTCACTACTATGAAATCTATGCCTGTAAGAAATTTACACTTGCATCCCCTAAATATAAAACTTAAAAAAACTAAACAAACAAACCAAACTCCTCAAATTTTCCGAGTTGTGCTTGATTTTACAACTCATAGTAATATTAATAAAATTTAAAACACTAGTTGATAGCATTGATTGAACCCTCGATCTGTGTATGACCCTGTTCTAAGGGCTTTAAACTCATTACCCTCTTGGTAGACATCCTAACAACAACCCTGAGATTCAGGTGTTATCATGTTCTTGATCTCTAGAGTTTTTTGGTTCTTTTTAGAATATCCATCTCTCTGCTAATCCACCTGGTCCTCCTCTTAGAGCATAGTACCTACTCTTTCCATTACAACCCTCAGCATATTAACCAGAGTTGTTTTAAATTCCTGATCTGATAATTTAAACACTTCTCTTATATCTGAATCTTGTTGTGATGCTTGCTCTGTCTTTCCAATAGCGTTGTATGCCTCTTAGTAAATGCCTTGTGATTTTTGTTGAGAGTCATACATAATGTACTGAGCAAGAGGACCTTGGGTTCAGTGATGCAGTGGTGATTGTGAAAAGGGGAAAGTTTTGTGGTCCTTGGTTAGGTCTGTGTCCTGGACTGTGAAATTCACAAGTGCTTCTCAGGTTTTTCTCCCTTAGGTGAGACCTGATGCTAGAGGGGTTTGAAATTGGACATTTCCCTCTTTCTAGGTCAGTTTGTCTCCATAGAACTCAACAGGTTAGACTCTGATAAAATAACTATTTGTCCTAACTAATACTATTTTTTTGTTGAGTCGGGATCTCACTCTAACGCCCAACTGGAGTGCAGTGGCAAGATTGAGGCTCACCACGGCCTCAACCTGCTGGGCTCAGATGATTCTCTCACCTCAGGCTCCCTATTAGCTGGGACTACAAGCATGCACCATCATGCTCAATCCTCTCCCTCCAACTTCCCAAAGTGCTGGGATTACAGCTATGAGCCACCACACCCAGCCTCTACCCAATAACTATTTACTATAGCTAATAACTATTTTATCTTGCTAAGAAGAGAATTATCTGGTATATTTCAAAATGGTTCCTTTCCCCCTCCCCATGCAGGAAGAATGAGGGAATTTTTATAAAATATAAATATGGTAAAACTCCAGGAGGTGAGACTGTCTCTGCTCCCCAACCCCCAATAATCCTTCCCCCTGAAAACTCTCACAGGGTCTAGCAGTCCCAGAGACACATGAGCCTTGTCTCCAAGGTGTGGCTTTAGGATCAGGTGATCAGGGGCATGAAAGATGAATCTCAGTACCAGAAGGAGGTGGGATAGGTGTGGCCAGAATTCCTAAGTATCTACAACATAATTCCAGTCTCTGAAAAGATTGTGAATTATTCATTTATTCATTCCCTCCCTCCTTTCTCAGAGAACAACCGAGAGTGTCTCACTTAGTGCCCTGTGCTGATGCAGAGTGTGAGTGGGGAGGGAGAAAGCAAAGTCTTTTTTTCTTCCATGGGAGAGACACCGACACATCAGAAAATAAGTAATTTCAAGTCCAGTGAGGTGATGAATCTGAGGGGGAGGCCTAGACATTCCTGACAGACTTTTTTGTATACGCAATTTTCTTTTGCTCTTTTCCTTTTCTTTTCTTTTGAAGATGTGGGATTCAGGATTAGGTATAGAAATGGATATCAAACAGGTAAAGTCTGGGCCTCCTTTTGGTCCCCACTTTGCCTGGTTTGAGATCAGGTATGCTTATTGATGTTGTGACCCCTCCCCCGACTTCACTGACTTTGTTTATGGAGATTTAGTTCTACATAAAAATTGATGAATTCTCCATTTGCACCTTGCTCTTCAGACAAGAATTGAACCCCCCTCCCACCTGAGCCGTATCTACGAACCTAAGAACAAAGGCTGGTCTGATCTCCAAAGACACAAAATCAGGTTGCAGGGGTGGAGGAGAGGACATGGCTGTAGTTGTAGACAGACATAGCGTGATTCTGCCAGATGGGGTCTGTGTACCCTGGTCAGTAATTTAATCTCCTTGTGCATCTGTTTTCCCTAAGTAAAACAGTGTAAATGGTAAATTGTCTGTGGCTTGCCATGTTGTCTGTAAAATTTTAAATATACATAATCGCCTAACATAAAGCTTGTCACAGAGGATCTACCCAAAGAAACAGCATCTGTGATTATTTGCCTCTGAGAGAGCGCCCCTAGGCCTGATCCCTGGTGGACAAGCAGCTTCCAGAAGCATCCTCTCTCCTCTGTTTCTCCCTGTGGGGACAGTGATCTTCTTATGAAGTCTCCTAGATCCCCAGAGGAGTCAGCTAATGCCACAGAAAACTTGTCCATTTGTCCTTTCCACTCTGAGTCTCAGGTGAAGGACAAAGCTCTGTCCTTGCCCAGATGAGGCTCTGGGGGCTGAGCCCTGGTTGATTACCAGCTCCAGGAGCCACGGACATCATAAAAAAAGTCATGGAGCTGATAAATTGTTGCTCCAAGTCAGCCCTGCCCAAGAGGCCAGAACCCAGCACTGGACACAAGCTCCCCAGGATCACCTGGAGTTAGGAGTCCTGGGGCTGAGCTTCCCTGTGGGGCCCCAGAGGTCACCCAAGGCCAAACCCTTACCGAGTCCTACAGGGTTTTTTCTTGGGGTCATATCCATGAAGAGGGTTCAGCAGGGTTGGACTGAGACTGGTGTCCTTCTGCCAAGTTTCCCATCAGATTCTCCTTCCTCTGCAGTGGATGTCTGCAGGGTCTGGATGGGGGAAAGGAATTCTGATCTTTGGAGGTTTGTCTCCCCTGTGTGTGTCCTACAATAAATGTCCAAACTCCACCATGGGACGTAATACAGAGGGGGAATGCAGGTGCAGTCCAGGCCTGACAGTCCTATGTGTGTGAAGTAGAATCAACTTCCCCACCTCAAAACCAGGAAGTCATAGAATACTCACAGTATACACGAAATTGTCCAGATACTTGATCAGTGTCATAATTTGTACTTATTATTTCTACGGTGTAGTATCCTGTGTCCCTCTGGGTGACGTTCTGGAATAGTAGAGATCCATTGGCGTATATTGTCTCTCGACCGCTGTATGCAGGCCCTGGGAGGTTTACTTGAGTGTCTGTTATATACACTGCAATGAGAAGACTACCTTCTACCTGTTCCCCTTTGTACCAATGATAGGCTTGAATATTCCCTGAAATATTGCAGACCAGTAGAAGAACATCCTTCCCCTCTGCAACAGTGGACGGCACAGATTCCACAGCAAGTTGGGCAGTGGTGGGCAGGTTCCAGGAGGTTAAAAGTAAGACTAAGAGGGAGGAAAGAGAATCAGTCAACACTGGGACCTATGTATTGGGATGTAAAGATGGGGCCTGGGTCCTGAGCAGGTTTCTTGGACTCTCAGTCTGGTGTGTGTGTGTGTGTGTGTGTGTGTGTGTGTGTGTGTGTGTGTGTCTTACTGGGTCAAGGTCAGCAGCATGACTCCCATCCCTTCAGCCTCTCTGCCCTTGTCATTTCCTCTGTTTGGCATACTCCTCTCCACGGGTCTGCAGGGCTCACACCCCCATTACCCTCAGTTCCTGCTCATACCAGGGGTGTCCTTGGGAGACCATTTCCCTGACTACCCCCTCTGGAGATTCTGTGTCTTCCCTCTCTGATCTTTTACTATTCTGTTCCCTCCAAGGCGCTTGTCAATACCTGATCTCACATTCTAGATCTCTTTGCTTGTCTGTCTTCTTCCCCAAGAGAATGAGAGCTCCATGAGAGCAGGGGCTTGTCTGATCTTGGTTGCATCCCAGTGCTTGGGTCAGGCTGCAGACACCTGTGGATGAGTTAGGAGAGTTCCCAGGGACCTCCATGTCCTGGTGCTTATTTCCCAATTTCTGAAGGACAGTGTTTAATATCCTATTATATCTTTCTTTGAAGTGTTACTCTGATACAGTTCTTATCAATATTCCAAATGCAGAGGCTAGTGATGATTCACCAGGAAAACAGAAAACTTTAGACTTCCCTCCCCCTTTGTAAATTTTGGTATACTGAGAGTTGCCTGTTGTGACCCCTTTATCTTTGGTGCCCTCTCCCCTATTCAGGCTCCAACAGAAGCCCTCTGATCCCTCTCAGAGCCCCATCCTCCCCAGAAGACTCCAGCAAGTCTCTGTGCTGCCTCCTCCTGCCCCCTCCCTGAGAATCCTCCCCTCTCACCTGTGAGCAGGAGTCCCTGACAGGAGACACAGTCTTTGTGGGGAGGGGCTGAGGGGGGCTCCATGGCCTCTGCTGCCTGCTCTGTCCTTCTCGGTGGAGAAGAGCTTCGGCTCTAGAAATGCTCTGAGCACCACTGCTCCACAGGTCAGCTCTGCTGTCCCTCCTTCTTCTGCACATAACCTCCTCCCTGGGGCAGGAACCCTTTCCTCGGTCACATGGGTCATGGGTGAGGTCTGTGCTCAAGATTCTTCTCTGTTCCCTCCCTTCTTATTTCTGCCTTCTTTGTCCCCGCTTCCTCTTTCTATTCTGTCTTCATTTCTTTCCTCAACCACACTTTGAAAAGCAGGATTGATGGGGTTCCCTGTCTCCTGAGAGGATGATCCACCACCTTTGCATTGACCCTGTTGGTTATGTCAGCACCATATAGACATAATCTGGGGACTCCCAAAGTGGGGGGATATTTCCTTTTGTGATTCAGATATCCAGCTGTTCTCTAGTACTCTGGAAAGGTGGGTTTACACTTAGCAGGATTCAAGAGTCTCTGGAGGATAGAAAAGGAATCACTGAGTGATGACAGGGTAGGGACTTGCCCCCTATCCAGTGTCACTAGCCTAACCTCTGACTCAGGGACAGACACCCAGGCCTGGGGATCTCAGGAGGAGCTGTAGTTCCTGGGTGAGGATGGGGAGGTATCCTGCTTGTCTCGGAAGAGAGGCCTGTGGTAGAGGGTCAGGTGGCTCTGGGTTCTGCTGTCCTTAGGGGATGACTTTACAGGGACTCTCCTTTTCTATGACTGGTGGCTGAGCTGTGGCTCAGGGCCTGTCCTTGGTCACCCTGTTTTCCCCGCGGGAGGTACAGGAGGGAGTGGGGAGCTGCGCAGGGACCCCTGGCAGACCAGGGTCTTCATGGGCCCTAGGAATGAGCAGGCAGGTAGGTGGGAAAGACCCATATAGGGATGGAAATCCGGCTCCATCTACACCTCCTTAGCTATAGTGAGGCTCATGTCTAGGGTGATCAATTTCCTGAGTGCTATCTGTGTGTCCCCATGCTGCTCCCTGGAGGGCAAGAGGAGAACTGAGTTCAGTGCCAGGGTCTGCCCCAGGGATGCTGACCAGACTCCCCATGGTGTGAGGTGGCTCTGACCCGTGGGCAGACCTTTCGCCAGGCTGAAAGGTCAGGTCAGCCCGGGTTCTGTTCACTGTGGGCCCCAGGCTGCCCAATTCCATCAGTGCAGGGTGAGTCCAAGGAGGTCAGGAGTTGTCTGCAGGACTCCTGGTCCAGATTTGGGAGAAATGTCCACCAGGAGGATAGGCGCCCTCAGAAGGAGCTATTTGCCTCCGAGGTTTCAAAAGAAGAGTCTGGAAAGGAATCTCAGGAGGCTGTAGTTTGAGGACACTGGTCCGGTAGTTTGTCCCCAGAGTGCCCTGTGTTCTCTCTATCACTGGGAGTGCTGTCTCCAAGTCCCACTTGTCATCTGCTCCAGGCCTCCCCAGAGGGCCCAGAAACAAAAGCAATGGTCATCTGGAGACTCTGCCTGGGGATCTCTGGTTTCTCTGTTAGGGGAGGGGAGTTCCCATGGACCCTCAGCCCCTCTGAAATGGAAACAAAGGTGAGTCCTGGGTTATTTTGTCCCCTCCTGCATGGGAAGTTCCCCTGGTTCTCTTCAGCTTCTTGGTCTGGCGAGATGTTTTCGGGGGATCAAAGCTAGGTGTCCCCGTCATCACAGTTCCTCAGGAAGGAGTCACCTCCTGACTTCTCTTGTGGTTAAGTGGTTCTCCATCCTCACCTGGTGGTGACTTTACCTGGAGTGGAGAATCCAGGGTCTGTACCAAGTCAGGTGTTTTTGTGAGAAGAGGAAGGACACAGGTTGCCTGTCCAGGTGCTCCTTGGGGTTGTGACACCACTTAAAAGTTAGAGATGGGGAGTGAATCTTAGTACCCTGGGAGCAAATCAGGTCTGACCCCTCACTGTTAGGTGGTCCCCGTCCTCCTTCCTGCCTATATACAAGGGTAAAAGTATCATTTCTGCACTCAGTGATCCAAGGGAATTTGAATAGATTTCTGGCCAATGACATCAGATTTTGCTATGTGGACACAATATACAATATAACGCATATGTACATGTGTAAAAACACCTAAGCATGGATACACATATACAAATAAAGATTTTGCAATTTTCATTTTAGAATTTTAGTTATGCGATAGTAATATAAACTCATTGGTTTTTAATAGGCAGCTGGATCCAAATTATACTTCTGACAAATTGGAGTCTATTCAAATAGCTAAACCTTATTTGCTCCAGTCAGTAATCTAATGAAGGCTGTGGAGAAAAATTTTGGATAAAGCAGTTTTCATAGTAGTTTAATTTTTTTCAGTTTTAAAAATTTTGAAGATGTGGGATACAAGTCAGGATTAGGTACATAAGTGGCCTATGTAAGTAGTAGTTTAATTTTTTAAATCATCCTTTCCTCCTCCCCTTTTTTCATTTTGAAATGAGTTTAGTGTTAAATCTCAATTGTTTACATTTTAGCTAGGACTGGCTGCATTGTATAAGAAAAACTAAATCTATCAGTAGCCTTGAACTAGTAATGGAATTATCTTTTCTTTGCTGGTCTGGTTTTCTTAATTAGCAAATGTGTGGGTAAAAAATAATTTTGAAGTTTTTTCCTGGATTTTTGGCCTCTGTATGGCAGAAAAAGTAATATTTTTATGCCAGACATACCTTATATTATTATTCGAGTACAAGATTTTGAGCTATTTGATCCAAGAGCCTAAGTTTTTATAAGCATTCATCTAATTCTTTTTTTTAGATTATTAATTTTTAAATTGTGCTCCACCACCCCAGGTTAGTCAGACAAACCTAAATTTATATTTCCTAAAGGTGTCTAGCTTGTTGGTTATCATAGGGTTTTTGTAATTTGTATAGCCACTAATTTGAAAGTCCTTTAAGACTTAAAAAAAAAAATCTTGGCTGGAATGTCATAAGCAGTGAGTTTTATCTTGATCCAGTAGAAATGTCAGCAGATTCAAAGCAGACAGAGAAAAAAAATGGAGAGATAAAAGTAGAAAGAGAACTTAGAAGACTACATGTTAACTCTACTGTGAGGGCTTTTCAAAAGAGAGTTTGAATAATGAACATTTGTACTGTGAATTTTCCTTGATGTAAGCTTGCCCATCAGTTTAAAAATGTCCACAAGAAGAACCACAAAATGTAGTCAACTAGAATCAAAGAAAATGTGCCTTGCCTTAATATTTGAGAGTGTCATTCTGCATTTTATTAATCTCTCAAAAAATTCTATAAATCCTGTAAAGAAATGTTAGGAGTTTAGACTAGTATTTTATTTTTGAGTTGAAGTCTTAGTCTGTCACCCAGGCTGGAGTTCAGTGGCATGCTCATGGCTGCCACAGCCTCAACCTGCTGTGCTCAGGTGATCCTTCCATCTCAACCTTCCAAGTAGCTGGAACTCAGATGTATGCTACCACAACTGGCTAATTTGGATTTATTGTAGAGTTGTGGTCTCGCTAAGTTGCCCAGGCTAGTCTTGTACTCCTGGGCTCAGGCAATCCTCCCACTTCCACCTCCTAAAGTATTGGGATGACAAGCGAGTCATGATGCCTGGCCTAGACTAGTATTTTAATTGGTAGCAATGACCCTAATGGCTTTTAAATAATTATCTTGTGGGCCCCCCCCCACTTAGTGTGTTTATGTTTTCTCTGGAAAGATTTTCAGAAAAAAGCAAGAGAAAAAAATCAAACCAAATTAAAAACAAAAACAGGATGAGATCACTCACAGAAATGTTAACTCAAGCATGCAGATTAAAAAATATATTAAATTCGGTGAGAAGACCAAACTGATTTCACCAGTTTAGACATGCCTCACAGACAGATGTAAATTATGTAGAAACTAGAGTACTTCATTCAGAAAGACACTTGTCTTTCTACCAGGAAGAACATGCCACAAAAGATAAAATGTCTTGTATCATTTCAGGAGGTATGTATTGTCTTTATTAAGGCAGCCTTTTCCAAATCAGGTTCCAAATAAAGAACTGCTACCTTAAAGAGACTCGGTTGAAAGAAGACTCACCAGGACAGAGAAGGAAGAGTGTGGAAGGAAGAGTTCAAAGGACTCATGTGAGCACTGCATACTGGTCTCAAGAATTACTTACTTTTTCTGATAGTGGTCTTTCCCAGATCTCACTTCTGACACAGTAGATGTCAACCTAAGTAATAAACTGGGAGAATATCTCTAAAAAGAAATGATGCTCATTTGAGCATAGAGCATCGTAACTGGGACATGTGTGCCATAGTAAACTCAGTGCATATTCAAAGAGGTAAGAAAGATAGTTAAAAAAAAAAAAACGAACAGGAGAGGAATTACATGAAAATTTCCTCTTAAGGAGAGAGTTGGCAAAAATAAAAATAAAATATAAAAATTTTATGTACTCACATAAAATTAAAAAAACCAAAGAAAGGTGGGCAGATATATGAATAATTTACAGAAAAAAATTAATGGCTCATAGACATATGAGCAAAACTCATCCTCACACATACAGGAGAAATGGACTAGATATTGTCCTGGAATAGTGAAGGTTATAACACAGTCCAGTGACTTCAAATGCCCCCAAATATCATTTGATGACACATTATGTGGGACTGACTGCGGCAATAATTACACTCTAATTTTTCTGTGGACGTGAAAGTTTGTGCAAACCGTGTGAAGTGAAATTTGCAAATACTTGAAAAAATTAAAAATATACATCCTGCTTGCATCCCAAACACTACTTTGAGGAATTTATCATGCACTCATGAAAAATGGCACCTAATTGTGGTTACTCATTGTAGTGATGGTTTAACAGCAGAATATTGAAAAGTCCTATATTTTATTAGCATAATGTAATGATATTCAAGCATGTTATGTAATTCTACATAATGGGATATGATGCAGATAAATAACAAACAAGGAATCTTTTTAGATACTGATATGGAAACTTCTCCATAGTATGTGTTAATTATATGATGTAAAAAACAAATACCCAGGTGTGTTCTTTCTATTGAATTTGGTCTT